AGTATTCCAGCTTGTTTTCTCCCACATGCAAGCCTTTCTCCCTGCACTGGGAATACCCAGAATGCGGAGGCCAAGCCCTGCTTCAGCTCCAGAGTCTTTACCCTCCGATCACTGTTCACTCTCACCCCATCCTGGCCAGGCTCTGGGGTGGAAACGTTGACCTTTCAATGAAGACAGGACCTCATCTGCCTGCCTTTTAGCTAGGGGAGACAAGAAGAAGGTTTTAGGGACAGACTCCCTCAAAGGAAGAGACAGACCAGACACTATGCTGAAAGCCAGGCCAGATATCCAGGCTCATAGCCCAGGTGAGCCCCTTTCAGAAAAGGGTTCAGAGAACATGCTCCAAGAAATTCTCTTGCCCTTCTCTACCAGAGACCAAGGGAGGGGCAGAGACCAGGGGAAGCTTGTAAAGGACTTTGAAGATGAAACAGGCCTGTAGCCAAAGATTGTTGACACAGCCACACTAGGAGTTGGAGCTTAAGAGGCCAGGCGCTGCCAAGCCAATAAAATACAGCTATTGTCTCTTCTTGGTCCCTTTTATATGCCAGCATGTGCTGGCATATAAAAGGGCCTTCAATGACCCAGGGAACACAAGGCCTCAGCTCCAAACACTGTCAACTTCTCTCCTCTTCGCACGCGTCCTCTCCTCGACCATGACCTGTGGCTTTCCAACTGGAAACTTCAGCTGCGCCTCAGCCTGTGGGCCCAGGCCCGGACGATGCTGCATCTCTGCAGCTCCCTACAGGGGCATCTCCTGCTACCGCGGACTCTCAGGGGGCTTCGGCAGCCGCAGCGTATGCGGGACCTTCCGCTCTGGCTCCTGTGGACGCAGCTTCGGATACCGCTCTGGAGGCATCTGCGGGCCCAGCCCCCCCTGCATCACCACAGTCTCTGTCAATGAGAGCCTGCTCACTCCCCTCAACCTGGAGATCGACCCCAATGCTCAGTGTGTGAAGCATGAGGAGAAGGAGCAGATCAAGTGCCTCAACAGCAGGTTCGCGGCCTTCATCGACAAGGTGGGTGTGGCCTGGAGCATGTGCACAGTCAGTGCTGGGCACTGAAGGGAAATCAGAGTGAAGACATACCCATAGAACCCCCAAGGCCAAAGAGACACAGACAGACAGGAACTGGAAGCAGTACCTTTCAGTCTGGTGTGGGGGAAAAAAACCTGACGGCATCCTTAGAACTTGGAGCAGGACCTACAGAGCCCAGGCCTCACCTTTCCAGTGTGCAAGACCATGTAGATGCTTGTATGGGAAGCAGGGTGTCCTAAACATGTCAGGGTCAACTGTGAAGACTGCCTGAGGGCTTATCTCTCACAGGGCCTTTTGAATCTCATGTAGCCACTGGGGCCAGTGTGCTCTGTGGGAGCTTCTGCATTTGGAGCTAAGCACGCAGGCCTGCGCTATAGCCACAGCCTGGTTCCTCAGGGCCTTATGCAGAGCCAGGATGACCACAAGCCTGCAGCTGTCTTCCCAGAATCCAGGCACCCACATGTAGCTGAGGCGTGAATACAAGCTCCAAGGAGAGAGAAGTCGAGGGGTTGGGGAGAGTTGTCCAGAGCTGGCACACATGAGACACTAAAGGAAGCACAAGGAAGAACTTACCAAGGATATGGTGAGGCCATTAAACACAGGCATCTGAATCTAGGAGTGATGGGGAGATGGGGGCCGGATAGTCTGTAATAATGATGGTGAAGATACGGCCCCGGCCAACCAACAGTCTCTCCCTGTAGTTAAGCAACGTCCTGGTCCTTCAATCTCACTCTTGAACTTAGAAACACAAGGCATTCCTGCACTTGAATCCCAGGTGTTCATTATTCTAATTGTGCTGTTGTTGCAGGAATCCTGTAATCTGCACACACTGGTTCACTTTCCAGAATTTACAGTCTGCCTTTCTAAACAGGTTCACCCTTCCAGTCCCAGGCTGACTCTCACAGCTGCCTTGGCTGTGCTGTCTTCTTGAGGTAGAATGTCTCTCTGTACCTTACTAAAAGGTGCTTTAGCCACCCTACTCTGTGGAAGGTTGGGAGCTTTATCCAAAGTCATGGACTAAGAAGAGGCAGAGTCTGGACTGGGTTAAGCATGTTCAGAGACACCAGGTGAACTGACTGATGTTAGGTCTCAGGAAGGAGTTCCAGGTTACCACCTGCCTTCAGCCTCAGTGTGGCTGTGGAGAAGACATGCCAGCAAGGGAGGGCATCACACACACACACACACACACACACACACACACACACACACACACACCTGTCCTCTGATTCTGCAAGAGTCTGTCCTCAGACTTTAACTCTGGATGGCAGGTGCGCTTCCTAGAGCAGCAGAACAAGCTGCTGGAGACCAAGTGGCAGTTCTACCAGAACCGCAAGTGCTGTGAGAGCAATGTGGAGCCTCTGTTCGAGGGCTACATCGAGACACTGAGGCGTGAGGCTGAGTGCGTGGAGGCCGACAGCGGGAGGCTGGCCGCCGAGCTCAACCATGCTCAGGAGGCCATGGAGGGCTACAAGAAGAGGTAAGGGCCACTGGGGAGTCTTGACAGGAGCTCCCTGGGAACAGAAGAGCTGGCTTGTGTTTAGGGTCACTGCCTGACTAGGTCAGGAAGCCCACCCCTGCCTTATCAATCAAGGAGCCCTCTCCATGTCTTCCTTCAGACAAAGGATCCCTGTCCTTCACAGGGTTCTCATCATCCCCTTTAAGTAGCGCAAGGTAGCCTACCTTTCTTCACCTAACTTTCCTGGTCTCCAGAACTAACCCTTCAGTCCCTGGATATTGTTTTTAGGGTTCCCTCCACCACTCTCCACCAATACTGCCACACACCCCATAGACATAGCAGGGTGCTACCAATCCATCCAGCAGTGTGCATGGTCCTTGCGGGGTGGAGTCTACTGGGATGTGAGCATGACATGGTCATGTATGGATACAGTTCCATGTGACACAGCCATGATGGATGGACAACAGGCCTCAGAAAGCTTCTGCTCCTCAAAGGAACTGACCAGCCTTCTTCACTGGCATGCTCTGCTATAGCCTCTGCCTCCTATCCCCGTCCCTGAGCAGACCTTCCCTCAGAGTGGTCCCTTGGCTCAGTCCAAGAAGAGATAATAGACAAAGTGCTAACCAAGGGCTCGGAGGAAATGGTGAGGAAAAACAGCCAGCTCAGTCTCCTGAACCTTAGACATACACTCACACATGCATGTTCACATGCATGTGCATGCACACACACACACTCACACGTGTGTGTTCACACACAAATGCATGTTCGCATACACACACATGCATGTTCACATGCATGTGCATGCACACACACACTCACACATGTGTGTTCACACACAAATGCATGTTCGCATACACACTCACACATGCATGTTCACATGCATGTGCATGCACACACACACTCACACGTGTGTGTTCACACACATGCATGTTCGCATACACACTCACACATGCATGTTCACATGCATGTGCATGCACACACACACTCACGTGTGTGTGTTCACACACAAATGCATGTTCGCATACACACTCACATATGCATGTTCACATACATGCACACAAACACGTATGTATGTACAAATGCACAGCTTTCAAATACCACTATCCTGTCTCTACTGCAAAGACCCAATGTGCTCACAGGCCTGTGACTGGAGTGTGACCCCTCTCAGATTCTCTAAGGAGGCCTATAGTTCAGGCTGCTCTGTGGACTGGCTTCATGGCTGTTTGGGTAAGGCCTTCTTTCCCTTCTGCCTCAGGTATGAAGAAGAAGTTTCACTCCGGGCCACAGCAGAAAATGAGTTTGTGGCTCTGAAGAAGGTAAGTGATTGAAGTCCCTGGACAGTTCCACCCAACCCTGTCCCCTCTGTCCTGCAACTCAGCAGCCAGATGCCTCCAGCCTAAGGGAAAGCTAACTTCATGGCTGTCTGCAAACCCCAATAGGATGTGGACTGTGCCTACCTGCGCAA